GAAGACCTAGAGGTCTACACTAACCCCACCAGCTCCGTAACTGCTACAGCAGCCCTCCAGGGCTGAAAACCACTATGAAGACCCCCATCCACCCCAAGATCTCTAGTATCAGCTATTGATATAGATAATGGCTCCGAAGAGCCTCCATTTATGGGCTCACCATAGCCCGTGCTACTTGGATCTTTTTGTCCTGAGTAGCTGAATCTAAAACAACAACATTGTAAATCCATTTTACTGAAGATGTACTATTAAATACGAAAGTACTTAAGGAAATTCCTGTCTTAATCCTTCCTTTGTGGTCTGACATTGTTCATCACGTTTTAATTTCTTTGTGATTTACACACACACACACATACACACACACACACACACACACACACACACACACACACACACACACACACACACACACACACACACACACACACACACACACACACACACACACACACACACACACACACACACACACACACACACACACACACACACACACACACACACACACACACACACACACACACACACACACAAACACACACACACACACACACACACACAGAGGGTGGTGGAGGCCAAGACCGTCAGTAGTTTCAAAGCGTTATATGACAAAGAGTGCTGGGAAGACGGGACACCACGAGCGTAGCTCTCATCCTGTAACTACACTTAGGTAATTACACTTAGGTAATTACACACACACAAACACACACACACACACACACACAAACACACACACTTTGTGTGTGTCGAAGTCATAGTCATATATAATCGTATATATGACCACACAACCTGGTAGTCATATAATAGTCATATATGACTATGACTACGTAGTCGTAGTCATATATAATCCACCACCAAATGACAGAAGACCCAGACAAGAATATGATAGAAACAACATGGCCACCATTAACATAATAGAGAGAGCTGCTTCTGTTGCTAGCAGGATTGGATCTGGACTACTAATCAAGAAAGACTTCAACCACGGGAAGATACATTGGGAGAACAGAGATCCGCATGGAAGATAAGAAACATGGAGAGCTAAGCTGCTTCACGTGACAAAGAGACACTTTCTAAGCCAGAACATCAAGAAACCAACAAGAATGAGAGGAGCAGATGAACCAGCCATGCTCGATCTGATATTTACCCTAAATGAGAGGGATATACGGGAAGTTAAGATGGAAGCACCCTTGGTGCTCAGTGACCACAGTGTATTGAACTTTAAGTACCTGGTAGAGCTAAGAATTATCTCCCCCAAAAAAGAACTAGGAAACAAAAGGCTGGCATACCAAAAGGGGAACTATGTGGAGACGAGAAGTTTCCTAAGGAAAATTAGCTCTGAGGTCTGTGTCCCAAGGTATGTCTGTGTAAGATATGATGGACTATGTCACCCAAAAGTGTCAGGAGGCAGTAAACAGGTTCATCCCGGCCGAAAGGGAAAAATCCGAGAAGCAAAAGAAGAATCCATTGTATAATAAGGGCATGAATGGAAGCAAAGGGACTGAACAAAAGGGCGTGGAGGAACTTCCGGAATAACAGAACACCAGAAAGCAGAGAGAGATACCAGAGAATCAGGAATGAGTATGTTAGGGTGAGAAGAGAAGCAGAGAAAAATTATGAAAATGATATAGCAAACAAAGCCAAGACCGAACCAAAGCTACTCCATAGTCACATCAGGAGGAAAACAACAGCGAAAGAACAGGTAATAAAACTTAGAACAGGCGAGGACAGGTATACAGAGAATGACAGAGAGGTGTGTGAAGAACTCAACAAGAGGTTCCATGATGTCTTCACAATAGAACAAGGCGAGGTCACGGTGCTAGGAGAAAGGGAAGTAAACCAGGCGGCCTTGGAAGGGTTCGAAATTACGAGAAAGGAGGTCAAGAGACACCTGCTGGATCTGGATGTTAGAAAGCTGTTGGTCCAGACGGGATCTCACTATGGGTACTGAAAGAGTTTGCAGAGGCACTTTGCTTGCCACTCTCATTAGTGTATAGTAGGTCACTGGAGACGGGAGACCTACCAAATATATGGAGGACGGCGAATGTGGTCCCAATATACAAAAAGGGCGACAGGCAAGAGGCACTGAACTATAGGCCAGTGTTCTTGACTTGTATACCATGCAAGGTGATGGAGAACATCGTGAGAAAAAAAACCTAGTAACACATCTGGAGAGAAGGGACTTCGTGACAAATCGCCAACATGGGTTCAGGGAGGGTAAATCTTGTCTGACTGGCCAAATAGAATTCTACGACCAGGTGACAAAGATTAAGCAAGAAAGAGAAGGCTGGGCGGACTGCATTTTCTTGGATTGTCGGAAAGCCTTTGACACAGTACCGCATAAGAAGCTGGTACATAAGCAGGAGAGACAGGCAGGTGTAGCTGGTAAGGTACTCCAGTGGATAAAGGAGTACCTAAACAAAAGGAAGCAGAGAGTTACGGTGAGGGGGTGAGACCTCAGATTGGCATGAAGTCACCAGTGGAGTCCCACAGGACTCCACTGGTGTCAGTTGAGAGGCGGGCCGAAAGAGCAAAGCTCAACCCCGCAAACACAACTAGATGAACACAGGGCTCTGTACTTGGTCCTATCTTGTTTCTGATATAAGTAAATGATCTCCCGGAGGGTATAGATTCATTTATCTCAATGTTTGCTGATGATGCCAAAATTATGAGAAGCATTAAGACAGAGGAGGACTGCTTGAGGCTTCAAGAAGACCTAGACAAGCTGAAGGAATGGTCGAACAAATGGTTGTTAGACTTTAACCCAAGCAAATGTAATGTAATGAAGATAGGTGTTGGGAGCAGGAGGCCAGATACTAGGTGTAATCTGGGAGATGAAATTCTTCAATAGTCAGAGAGAGAAAAAGACTTGGGGGTTGACATCACGCCAGACCTGTCCCCTGCAGCCCATATCAAGAGGATAACATCAGTGGCATATGCCAGGCTGGCCAACATAAGAACGGCATTCAGAAACTTGTGTAAAGAATCATTCAGAACTTTGTATACCACATATGTCAGGCCAATCCTGGAGTATGCAACCCCAGCATGGAGTCCATATCTTTTCAAGGATATGATTAAACTGGAAAAGGTTCAAAGGTTTACCACCAGACTAGTACCCTGGCTGAGAGGTATGAGCTACGAGGAGAGACTACGGGAATTAAACCTCACTTCGCTGGAAGACAGAAGAGTTAGGGACATGATCACCACATACAAAATTCTCAAGGGAATTGATAGGGTAGATAATGATAGGCTATTTAACACAAGGGGCACACGCACTAGGGGACACAGATGGATACTGAGTGCCCAAATGAGTCACAGAGATATTAGAAAGAACTTTTTAGTGTCAGAGTGGTTGACAAATGGAATGCATTAGAAAGTGATGTGGTGGAGGCTGACTCCATACACAGTTTCAAGTGTAGATATCATAGAGCCTAATAGGCTCAGGAACCTGTACACCTGTTAATTGACGGTTGAGAGGCGGGACCAAAGAGCCAGAGCTCAACCCCCGCAAGCACAATTAGGTGAGTACACACACACACACACACACACACACACACACACAGCCGGCGGCCTGCAGCCGAGCAGACAGCATGCTTGACACGTGATCCTGTGGTCCCGGGTTCAATCCCGGGCGTCGGCGAGAAACGATGGGCAGAGCTTCTTTCACCCTATGATCCTGTTACCTAGCAGTAAATAGATACCTGTGAGTTAGTCAGCTGTCACGGGCTGCTTCCTGGGGTGTGTGTGTGTGTTTGAGGGTGTAGTGTGGGAAAAACAATAGTAGTGGTAGTAGTAGCAGTTGAAACAGTTGATTGACAGTTGAGAGGCAGGCCGAAAGAGCAGAGCTCAACCCCCGCAAGCACAACTAGGTGAATACACACTGAAAATGATAAAAAAATTGTGAGGAGCTGAATGGAGCCAGCCTCCACTACTGAGCCTGAACAGCTCCCAGAGCTAGATGAGGAAGTAGCCTCTGATGAGACACTACAAAATACTGAGGTAACAGCAGAGGAAGTAAGAATACAGCTAGCATCACTGGATGTAACTAAAGTTACTGGGCCAATATCACCATGGATGTTAAAAGAAGTAGCACAGGCCCTCAGCATAATCTTTAATGAATCACTTACACAGGGGAAATTGTCCAGCTGCTGGACGAAGGCAAATGTGCTGCCTATCTACGAGAAAGTAGATAGAGAAGAGGCACTTAAGTACAAACCAGTGTCGCTTACAAGCATCCCTTGCAAAGTTCTTAAAAGAATTATGAGGGTAAGACTAGTTGCACACTTAGAAAGAATTAGGTTTGTAAGTAAAGAACAACACGGCTTTAGAGCAGGGAAATCATGCCTGACGAACTTCCTGGAGTTTTGTGATAGAGTAACGAAAATAAAGCAAGACAGAAAGGATGGGCAGATTGCATATATCTGGACTGTCAAAAAGCCTTTGATACAGCAAAGTACTTGAAAGAATTATAAGGGTAAAACTAATTGCACACCTAGAAAAAAAGTTCTGTTATCTCGGAAGAATGATAGCCTAACTCTAGACAAGGGAAGAGGTAAACTCCAGTTAAGATTTACACTATTTATTAATCATTGAAAACCTTCAAGTAACATTACAATGCTCTACCACGTCCTACTTTATATTAAATCTCAGACTCTACATAGGCAGGAGATATGTACATACTAGCAAGCTTATAATAGGGCCTAAGCTAGGTCACTTATGAGGCAATTCCAACAATCTAAAACAAATAAATACGTGCTCCACTTGCCAGTGCCGGGGGCTCCAGCTTAAAGGCTCCACAGCCAGGGTAACACACACACTAAGCAGCATACTTAGAAAATAAGGGTGGCACATTACACTTCGGTGACTAAGACTTGTCATTCTCTAGGTAAAAAAACAGGTATACCACACTCCGTACGACCCTGGCTCGTGTATGCATACAATAGGAACTAGGATGGTAAGAACACACTCATAATTCTGATAACTGCGTGTGGTCGACTTTGCAGGAGTGTGTATGAGATCACCGATATGTACATCAAGTTCGACCTCAACTGCTTCAAGAACGTGGCCCGGGACCGAGCCGCCCTGGTGTCGCGTGAGTTCACCACCTCCCACCCCCTCTGCCTCTCCTTCTGGGTGTTAATGTACACCAACGTCGCCTCCCAGTCTCACGTCGGAGCTCTCAAGGTTAGTCACACGTCGGAGCTCTCAAGGTAAGTCTCACGTCGGAGCTCTCAAGGTAAGTCTCACGTCGGAGCTCTCAAGGTAAGTCTCACGTCGGAGCTCTCAAGGTAAGTCTCACGTCGGAGCTCTCAAGGTAAGTCTCACGTCGGAGCTCTCAAGGTAAGTCTCACGTCGGAGCTCTCAAGGTAAGTCGCACATCGGAGCTCTCAAGGTAAGTCGCACGTCGGTGTTCTCAAGGTAAGTCTCACATCGGAGTGCTCAAGGTAAGTCGTAGGTCGGAGTTCTCAAGGTAAGTCGTACGTCGGAGCTATCAAGGTAAGTCGCACGTCGGAGTTCTCAAGGTAAGTTGTAGGTCGGAGTTCTCAAGGTAAGTCTCACGTCGGAGTTCTCAAGATAAGTCGCACGTCGGAGCTCTCAAGGTAAGTCGCACGTCGGTGTTCTCAAGGTAAGTCTCACATCGGAGTTCTCAAGGTAAGTCGTACGTCGGAGTTCTCAAGGTTAGTCTCACGTCGGAGTTCTCAAGGTAAGTCTAACGTCAGAGTTCTCAAGGTTAGTATCACGTCGGAGCTCTCAAGGTAAGTCGTACGTCGGAGTTCTCAAGGTTAGTCTCACGTCGGAGCTCTCAAGGTAAGTCGTACGTCGGAGCTCTCAAGGTAAGTCGCACGTCGGAGCTCTCAAGGTAAGTCGTACGTCGGAGCTCTCAAGGTAAGTCTCACGTCGGAGCTCTCAAGGTAAGTCTCACGTCAGAGTTCTCAAGGTAAGTCTCACGTCGGAGCTCTCAAGGTAAGTCTCACGTCAGAGTTCTCAAGGTTAGTCTCACGTCGGAGCTCTCAAGGTAAGTCTCATGTCAGAGTTCTCAAGGTAAGTCTCACGTCGGAGTTCTCAAGGTAAGTCGCACGTCGTAGTTCTCAAGGTAAGTCGCACGTCGGAGCTCTCAAGGTAAGTCTCATGTCAGAGTTCTCAGGGTAAGTCTCACGTCGGAGCTCTCAAGGTAAGTCTCACGTCGGTGTTCTCAAGATAAGTCGCACGTCGGAGCTCTCAAGGTAAGTCTCACGTCGGAGCTCTCAAGGTAAGTCTCACGTCGGTGTTCTCAAGATAAGTCGCACGTCGGAGCTCTCAAGGTAAGTCTCACGTCGGAGTTCTCAAGGTAAGTCTCACGTTGGAGCTCTCAAGGTAAGTCTCATGTCGGAGTTCTCAAGGTAAGTCTCACGTCAGAGTTCTCAAGGTAAGTCTCACGTCGGAGCTCTCAAGGTAAGTCTCACGTCGGAGTTCTCAAGGTAAGTCGCACGTCGTAGTTCTCAAGGTAAGTCGCACGTCGGAGCTCTCAAGGTAAGTCGCACGTCGGAGTTCTCAAGTTATGTTACACGTCGAACCTATCTCATGTCACCTCCGTGTTCTCAATTCCCTCCCAAATGCTATATAGTCATTCCGGTCTATCTCTCTCCATGGAGGAAGCTGACGAAAATGTTGATATGGTGTATCCTTAGGTAGCCTCAAGGCAACTTAATGGCTTACGTGTTAAAGGTCATATTGAGGTGTCTCGGATGGATTGTATCTGAGTAAAACAGTTCTGATGACTCGTTTAATGAAAAGGAACTAGCATTACAAAGTCTAAAATATAAATAGCTGTACGGAAATATGAACGAAAAATATCAAGATAGGATTGAGGGGGTGTAAGGTAACAGGTAGTGGGGGGGGGGAGGGGCGGGTAAAATATTATGGCGACACTAAAGTAAGATTATGGTGGTGACTTGGCTGCGGCGTCTGGCAGGAGGGTGTGAGGGTAGGGATGATGGTGGCGTCTGGCAGGGGGAGGGGAGGTCGGAACAGGTGATATGGGTAAGGTGGCATGGGGGGAGGGAGGGGTAGGCCAGGTAATTAATGACATCTCATGTAGCCGGATAATGCTACATTTTTAGTTACTTATATAGACATATACTAGTTTCTAAATAAGATTTCTACTTATAAGAATACAGTCTAAAATATCTGTTTATATCCGTTTATTCTCAGTAATACGAAAGCGAACTTTGCCCTGACTTTTTATAACAAACTTCTAAGACAATATTCTCTGAAAAAAAATGGTCTTAATCTAGTAAATATTTTCATAAAACTGACCCTCAGAAAAATTTTTAATTTCTCCCAAAAGAACTCTTAACAAACTTCAATGAACATATTCTCCGAATATGGTCTTTGAAAAATTTCGGTCTTTAACTCTGAAGAAATTATAAGGAAACCTGAAGCGCTAAACGGGATTTTTAAATTAAGTGGAACGACCAAGCACTAAACGGGATTTAAAAAAAATCCTCCTTAGCGCTTAACCCCCACTACTATAACCCCTATAACGTATTAAGAGTTTATACACCATGGAGAGTGCCAGGCACAGTGCTTTTGCTCCTTCCTTTAGTATCCATGGCGATATTCCATCTGGGCCTATAGCCTTTGTCACATTCAACTCTAGCAAAAGCTTCCTTACATCCCCCACTGGTAATCTCAAATTTCCCAAGTGGTGCCTGGTAAACTATTCCTTCTCTTATCTATTGAACTTCTCCTTGCTTTAATGTGAAGACTTCCTGGAATTTCTTATTGAGTTTCTCGCACACTTTGTCGTTTGTAGTGAATCTGTATGCCCCTAGGCTCAGTTTCATTACCTGTTCCTTTACTGTTGTCTTTCTCCTGATGTGGCTGTGCAGCAGTTTAGGTTGAAGGGCAGAATCTGCCCTTCTGCCTTCAATCGGCAGAAGGGCAGATTGCCCTTCTGCCTCTCTTCTCACCCTGACGAATTAATTCCTGGCTCTGTGGGATCCTTCTCTGCTCTCAAGTGTCCTGTTATTTCTATAATTTCTCCACGCTCTTTTACTTAGTTACTTAGCTAGCTTACATCTCTGATTAAACCATGGGTTTCTCATCTGCATTTAATTTTTTTTTCCTTTTGGGCCAGGATAAACTTTTCTGCTGCCTCCTTACACTTCTGCGTGATGTATTCCATTATGCCTTGTGCTGTCTTTCCACTGAGCTTTGTTTCCCAAGTTATATCCGTTAAGAATTGTCTTATCTCCTCATAGTTTTCGGAATGCTAGTCTTTTGCTTTCAGCTCCCTTTCTCAAGTACTTTAACCCTTCTTCCACCAGATACTCCAACGTCAGTACACTGTTATCGCTGATTCCTACTGGGGCGTCGAAATCAATTTCCCTTATGTTGGAGTCATTCAGCGTGAAGACTAGGTCGAGTCTCGCTGGTTCATCATTTCCCCTCATTCTTGTGGGTTTCCTGATATGTTGGCTTAAAAAGTTTTTTGTGGCCACCTCCAGTAGTTTAGCTCACCATGTTTCATTTCGAAATCATTTCAAGATAACCTCGCTTTTGAAAATCACTTTTATCACTCGATCTCTGTCCTTGTTGCACTGGCCAATCCTAAAAACGTTTTCTATATTCTGTTCTTCCCCTCTCTATATGTACCCTTTCAAGGGATCTCTTTATCTGCGGTTCTGTCCATATCTCTCCTCTTCCCTGGGCTGGCCCCAATTTGCTCCCTACTACCTACTACAATTACTGCTCTTTTCCTCTCTCTCAGTCGGCTAGTGCATCTTGCTGCTTCCTGAGAAGTAGCAACTTTCATGGCAATTTCCTGTATTGCAGCGACAACTTCTGGGGTCCTGCTAAGTATGTCTGCAAATGAGGGTTGTGTTATAGAAGTACCTTCTGCGGATACATTACCATCTTCCTGAAGGCTGATTCGTGTCTGGTATTGGGGAGGATTCTCTTTCAGACTTTTAATCTCCTCCTTTGCCTCATTCAGCTCGTGCTGCAGTTTGGCTACCTTCTTCCCCATTACCCTTAGCTCCTCCTTGATTTCTCTCCACATTTGAAAGAGTATCCCCCTGAAGTGAGTCATCTTGTCCTTCTCCTCCCTCTGTGTTACGTCTTCCCCCTGCCATGTTTGTTTCTTATTCAAGTTCTCCAATCCAATGAGTGGGAGGATGTGTGTGTTTCCTATTCAAATTTTCCAATCCAATGTGTGTGTATTCATCTAGTTGTATTCACATAGGTGTGTTTGCGGGTGTTGTGCTTTGCTCTTTTGGCCCGCCTCTCAACTGTCAATCAACTGTTTACTAACTACTTTTTTTTCACCACCACACACACACACACACACACACCCACACCAGGAAGCAGCCCGTGACAGCTGACTAACTCCCAGGTACCTATTTACTGCAGGGGCATTCAGGGTGAAAGAAACTTTGCCCATTTGTTTCTGCCTGGCGCGGGAATCGAACCCGTGCTACAGAATTACGAGTACTGCACGCTATCCACCAGGCTACCAGGTCCCCCATGTGTGTGTACTCACCTATTTGCACTCATGTATTTGTGTCTGCAAGATCGAGCATTGATTCATGGATCCTGCCTTTCTTGCCATCGGCTGTTTACAGCAATGTCTCTGGTCCTGTTTCCCTATCATACCTAGTTTTAAAATTATGAACAGAATTTGCTTCCACAATCTTCACCTTAAGTGCATTCCATTTTCCCATTACTCTCACGCTAAAAGAAAACTTCCTAACATCTCTGTGACTTATCTGAGTTTCCAGCTTCCTCCCATGTCCCCTCGTTCTGTTAGTATTCAATGTGAACATTTCATCTATTTAAACTTTGTCAATTCCCCTGAATATTTTATATGTTCCTATCATATCTCCACCTCTCCTTTTTTTCTTGTGTCGTAAGGTTCAGTTCCTTCAGGTGTGTGTGTGTGTATGTGTGTACTCACCTAGTTGTACTCACCTATTTGTGTCTGCAAGATCGAGCATTGACTCTTGGATCCCGCCTTTCGAGCCATCGGTTGTTTACAGCAATGACTCCGGTCCTATTTCCCTATCATACCTAGTTTTAAAATTATGAGCAGAATTTGCTTCCACAACCTGCTCCTTAAGTGCATTTAATTTTTTCACTACTCTCACACTAAAAGAAAGCATTCTAACATCTCTGTGACTCATCTGAGTTTCCAGTTTCCAACC